TGTCCCATGCCCTCTGAGATATATTGATAGTTGTTCATTACAATAGCTATTAAATGTTGTTTTATACTTCTTTAGCGCATCACACGTGTGCTATGGTATGTAGCCTGTGCGTTGTCTCTCGGGTTGAATTAAGTTGTAATCGGAATTGCTGAACTAGAATTTGCAAGTTTATACTGGTGAAAATGTATTGGTATGATTTTTTGGCCTTGTACGATTGACTTCGGACTTGGTATAAAATTAAGCTCGTTGTTTAGAAGAAAATGTAAGGCACTTGTCAGGTAGTGATTTGACAAGTTGAAAATTTGAATTTCAGGCTTCTTAAAATTCTTTAACTGTAAGTCACGAGCAATGATAGCTCGTACTTGTTAAAGAAATAGTTTAAGCTGAAAGTTAGGAGCAAAGATATATTCGATATAGAATAAATTACATATGAAAGCTTTTTTTCATTCCAGATGTTTTGCAAATACACAAGCAATATTCCATTCCTGTGGACGCCATTGAGGCTGTAGAAAAAAGTTAGTAGGTTTTATAATATTGCTTATCAAAATAAAATATGTACCAGACACAACCTTAAATCAGAGCGAGTCCCATAAGCAAACCCAGGGTTTTGATTTATATTTTTTCACCATATTTTATTTTTATTTCTTAATACAAACAAAAATAGAAATATATATATAACATATTGAGAAGAAGTTACATTACAAACTTAAGACAATGTGACAATATTGACTTCATACAATGTAAAGCAATTGAAACATGTATTCAAAAATGTTTTAGGACAGATCTTTAAAAAAGTTTGTAGTCTACAAGAGAGTTCAAATTTTTCAGGATGGAAGCAAAGAAAATGATTGAAGATTGAACATGATTAGAAATGTTGTAGCTAGTTTCATTCAAGGAATGTAGTGGACAGTACATCTTATATTTGTAAATTCTATAGGCAACATAAGAGATAAGTGCATTGAGTGATACAATTTTTCTATTACGCTCAGAGCTAAATCCAATCATTACATGCTTCCATTTGATATCTATTTTCAGGTAAGAACTTAATATGTTCTACATTTTAATAACAGTTTTACATTCCAAAATGAGATGTTTTGAAGTTTCGTTCACATGGCATAGTTTGCAAATACCTGATAGAGCTATCTATTTCTAGAGCTTGGAATGATACTAATATATTGATTAAACAATAAGGATCATGCGATACAAGCATAAAGAGTCCGATTAACCAATCAGACAATGTTTTAAATACAAGTTTATTACATTCAGCCGTCATACCAATGTACATATATGTGCATTTCTTTTTATTTTCTATAGCAGTCCTATCCATTGTACTTTTTCTATTTTCTTTAACAAAGAATTCAGATTGTGTTGTACAATTTGATTTAATAAAATGAACGGATCTGCTACAGAAGCAAAGGCAAATCTAAAATGTTTGATTAAAGGTAGCTGAAGTCCTTATTCCAAGCAGAGATAGATATTTCCATTTAAAGAAATAATTGTGATTGTACTTTCTTTCATTTACCTTTTGCTTTTATATCACATTTAAAATCCTCAGACACCTTCAGCCCTCCTATAAATCATTGATTCACGTGTCTCCTGACCATATGTGTACTGCAATTATATGTAAATAAAGGAAACATTTATTAAAGCGATTTAATATATTTATCCTTATCTTATACGTAACTTAAAGAGACAGTTTTAATGTAATATTCTCTTTAGATCATCACATTATAATTTGTATGTTATTTAAGCATCACATTCTCATATAGATTTAACATTATTTCCTTTGCAGAGAAAGGATATTCCTTGCTCCATGAGCAAAATATTGATACTGAAGAGGCATTTGGAACTGGTAAATTTTCTATGAAATGAAAATTACATTTGTCACTTTTTCTTCTATACCCATACAGACATTAAATTTTGAAGTCATGTGCAGTAAGCGATCAAACGTTATGAAAACATGTTTAAAGCGACTTATTAAACATCTTTGTATATATATAATTATCCCTTTTTATTGTTTGACTGACAATATTAAGGGCATTGGACATGGAGATGCCTTCTGATCGATAGTAAGAATCAAGAAAAAGATTGATATAGCACAGGTACAAAATTTTGAGGATTAACTCCTTACTCCGCGACTCTAGAGCTGACACTCTACCACTGTGCCAAGCTGGCGACTACGTATATTTGTAATTTTTGCTTACGGGAGTTCCCCCATTGCCGCGCCTTTAATTTGTTTGTAATATTGTCTGTTAAATTGAAAAGAAAATATTTGCAAGTATGAGCAAGAAAATAAGATCAGAACTACAATGTCCAGGTAATTCTTGATTAGGATTGTCTGCTGAATATACTTTTTCGACATATTATAATCATGTTTGTGTACATGCTGTTCACATCATGATTATTTAACACTATTAGATTTTTAGAAAAAAAAAAAAATAGAATGTGCCTTTGTGGTATGAATTTTCTTTCTCAACAATGGGAACAGGAACTGATCAATGGGAACAAGGAAATGATCACAGCAGCGACGTCTATTTTCCGTTTGTGTGCAACTTTTCTCGGGACTGCAATATGCCGTTTGAAAGTTTAAAAGAAACTTGATTGTTAATATTAAGTATTTTAGGAAAGAAGTACAGACTACCACATTTCCAATAAGCATTTTTATCCGTTCTAAAATCCAATAGGTTTTCTTGTCTAAAGTTTTTTTAAATACATTTCAAAGACATTTGACTTGGTGCTTTCATGTAGAGCTTGTAAATTAGGTTTTTCTACCAAGATACAATAACCAGTACCAAGTTGTCCCATGCCCTCTGAGATATATTGATAGTTGTTCATTACAATAGCTATTAAATGTTGCTTTATACTTCTTTAGCGCATCACACGTGTGCTATGGTATGTAGCCTGTGCGTTGTCTCTCGGGTTGAATTAAGTTGTAATCGGAATTGCTGAACTAGAATTTGCAAGTTTATACTGGTGAAAATGTATTGGTATGATTTTTTGGCCTTGTACGATTGACTTCGGACTTGGTATAAAATTAAGCTCGTTGTTTAGAAGAAAATGTAAGGCACTTGTCAGGTAGTGATTTGACAAGTTGAAAATTTGAATTTCAGGCTTCTTAAAATTCTTTAACTGTAAGTCACGAGCAATGATAGCTCGTACTTGTTAAAGAAATAGTTTAAGCTGAAAGTTAGGAGCAAAGATATATTCGATATAGAATAAATTACATATGAAAGCTTTTTTTCATTCCAGATGTTTTGCAAATACACAAGCAAAATTCCATTCCTGTGGACGCCATTGAGGCTGTAGAAAAAAGTTAGTAGGTTTTATAATATTGCTTATCAAAATAAAATATGTACCAGACACAACCTTAAATCAGAGCGAGTCCCATAAGCAAACCCAGGGTTTTGATTTATATTTTTTCACCATATTTTATTTTTATTTCTTAAGACAAACAAAAATAGAAATATATATATAACATATTGAGAAGAAGTTACATTACAAACTTAAGACAATGTGACAATATTGACTTCATACAATGTAAAGCAATTGAAACATGTATTCAAAAATGTTTTAGGACAGATCTTTAAAAAAGTTTGTAGTCTACAAGAGACACTGTTTGAAAAAATAGCTTTACAAAACTTTACTTGCAAAGTAAATCTCATTAAAGGTGCTCCAAAAAGCAAGGTCATCTTTGTATTAACTTTACAAAAAGTAAAGGTGAAAAGGTAACATTTACTTAAAAGAAAAGGTAATTAAATTTAACCTTTCACCTTTAATGCTGCATTAAAGTTGATATATATTTTAGGAATGACTCTAATTCTTGGCCAAATTATTCGAGTATAACCTGGTTTGGGTCAGTTTACGCTTTATAATCCGCGAAGCGGATTATAAAACAGCGTAAACTGACCCAAACCAGGTTATACTCGAATAATTTGGCCAAGAATTAGAGTCGTTCCTTATAATTTAATTCTAAAATCATTAAACAACTGTGGGTGTAAAATTTCGTTGCTTTTTATTAGTTCAAATTTGCCGCTCAATAATACAACCCTAGTAACGGAAGTGATGGGAAGCGAGGGGAGGTAAAAACTGATACATAGTCCTAGCAGCCATGTTGTTTTGTTTACATGTGGTAAGATCCAAGTTACTGTTTGAAGTTAAAGGTACATTTATTAAATCTGGAATTTTCCATGAATCCCGAGGACTGGAAATGAGAGGATTGCATGGATACAGACGATTCAGCTGGTTGTCGGGGGGGGGGGGGGGTCCCCATACCAAACCAGGTTATACAGAAATAATTTTTGTTCCTTTTTGGATATTAACCAATCAGAGGCTAGAATACAAACAAAATTAAATTTTATATATATATATATGAAACTTTTTTAAATCCTTATTTAAATACTGGGCTTTGTTTAATACACTCGTACTTAAGATTTCAACAAATGGTTTTTGACTTTTAAAATAAATAGGTATCTGATGTGTCTTTTGTGTTACCCCCACCTCGTTTTTGTTAAACTCGATCTTACTAAAAATACACAAATTTTCAAGCGTTATATCAATTTCCAGTTGTATTTAGTATTAGAGATTGTCATCTACAAAATATAAAAATTTATACTATTTTTGTATACTGTAGATGGACAATCAAAAATGTAAAAATGGTATCAGATATCAGAATATAGATATAATAAACTTTAAAATTCCCTATGACTTAACCTTAAACTCATCTGATTTGTTGATATCTGATAGATGGAGAACTCTTTTTTATTTGCTTTTTGTGTAGATGTATTGAAACCTTTTCTGTTATAATTTCTGCTTCATAAATATCTGCCAAAAACAGTTACAAACATTACAAGATTACATCTTTTACTTGAACAGGCAATAAAATGACAAAGAAAAAAATTAAAAAAGGTTAAAATACAATACAATATTATTTATCCTTTATGGTGCATGTACATGTGTTAAAACTTTGCAGCTTAAACGGAACTAAAAATGCCATACTCAGTTATTACTCAAGATCACTGACGAGAAACTACACAACATAAATCAGGCAAAGTACTAGTATTTCCAACTTAAACTATTAAAAGCTATCTAATGATTATTTATGTACAGGTTAATAATGTTGACATCTTGTAAGCATAATGGTGCAATTTACAGATTCACAAAATAAACAAAATTGCTTAAACACCTATTAGAATGTAGGTTCAGATGTAGTTTTGCAAGATGCATAAGTAAATGCATGTGTCCAGCTTCACGCAGTGAGCCTGTTTGAGCTTGACTTTATACTTTGGACTAAATGTTACGTGTATTGCGTCTGTGGTAGGAGATTATGTTTGCATAAGTGTCCATCTTCACACGCCTTGGAAAATATGTAACTGGTGTTGTGGAAGATGTTGTATGTTTGCATATGTGTCCAGCTTCACACATTTTCATGTGTGTGCTCGACTTCACACGCCTTGGAAAATATGTAACTGGTGTTGTGGTAGATGCTTGTGTGTTTGCATATGTGTCCAGCTTCACACATTTTCATGTATGTGCTCGACTTCACACGCCTTGGAAAATATGTAATTGGTTTGATAGATGCTTGTGTGTTTGCATATGTGTCCAGCTTCACACATTTTCATGTATGTGCTTGACTTCACACGCCTTGGAAAATATGTAACTGGTGTTGTGGTAGATGCTTGTGTGTTTGCACATGTGTCCAGCTTAACACATTTTCATGTATGTGCTCGACTTCAAACACCCTGGAAAATATGTAACTGTGGTTGTGGTAAATGCTGGAGTGTATGCATATGTGTCATGCTTCGCACAGAGAGAAAAGTTTTGTGTGCTCTTTTCTAGAAGATAATGATTATTTAAATATACTCCGAATACATCCTCTAAAGAAATGGATAATCATAATGAGTTACATACTAAGTTCCTCAGTGCACAATATACACAATTTTACTGAAAATTAAACTTGTGCAAAAACTCTCTTGCTGAATAACTTTCATTATTATAAATGCTTGAATGTTCATCTATATATTTTCAGATATTTTCTAGTCAATGTATATATTCTTGATCATGATGGCATCCATATTTGATTCCCCTCTCTCATCTTTTTTGGTCACCAATTAATTCAACAGTAGGCTGGGTACTCAGATCTCTCAGGTGTTGGACAAAAGGAGTGCTAATAATAAACATAATCTTTGAAATTATAGAGAATAACATCCATTTCTTTTCCAGGTTTGCATTAATTAGTTATCTTTTGAAATTAAAACACTTCTGCAATAACCTTGAAAACTTGCCAAGATACGTTAAATGTTTGTAGCATGCTTTAACTACTTAATTTTATTTTTGGAAGTTTAGAATAATAGAAAAACAAGTTCAAAAATAAAATGTAAAAGATCTTAATAATGAAGATTCATTTACACAAATTTATAACACATTGAAGTCAATTCATCACCTGACTCTCATAATTTATCTTCATAATGGAGTTGATTCTATGATGATCACTTTCAATCATTTAAAAGAACTTCTTCATCTCAAACTATCTGAAGGTCATCCATCTACCCAACTGCCACTCACCTAAAGTGTACCGAGACTTCTGACCTGTACAATATCAAAATTCAAGATTAACATTTAAAAAAAATCTCTTCACCACAATGGTCTCTTTAAAAAATGTGAGAAAATAACTTAAATACTTTTCTGAAGATGAAATAATGTAGTGAGTATCTAACAATGTTTAAAAATATTTTGATCCCTGGACAGTGATAATGTATGAAAAAGTCTTGTCCCTTGTATTTGAAAAAAATTCCATTCTTAAGGACATTACCCAACATGGAAATAATGCACATTTGTCTCTGGCACAACCAAACCACAAGAGACCATTCCATACTTAGCACCATGCATTAGCTCTTCACTCTTTGCTTCTACAAAAGATAAATTATGAAAAGGTAATTTTTTGACAGCTAAGTCGGATTAATTATTTTCCAGTCAGTGATGAACAGAATATTTGATTTCCTTAATAATCAGGGACAGATTATTCATGTTTATCTTAAATGAACAAAGTTTGACACCCCCCCCCCCCCCATCGCCACTACAAAAAGGAAAAAAATAAACTGACTCAGAAACTCTTATTTCAGTGAGGTAAAGGGAATAATGGCATCAGACAAGGAAAGATTATTAATCATTTTTTTCAGTTGAGATGAGATTATATCTTTTAAACATTTTTGAGGTTAATATATTTTAACCCCCCCCCCCCCCCCCGCATCAAACAAAAATAGTCGCCCCTTTATTTAGCTTTCCTAAGTCTATAACAAAATTTTTATTATGATTTTTTTTTTCCATTTTAATTTATTATATCCTGACACTGATACCACTACTATATAGTAGATGCAACAACTTGAGAGGTGACCCCTCTTCTTCCCTCTCTCCCCTAGATGTTTCGTCTAAATGTTAAACGACTGTTGTTCAATATCTTGAAAGACAGAAAACAGTTATACACAAAAAACAAGCACATTTTCATTACCTTGCAGTCAGTGTCGAGTGACACACGTAAACAACATCTCGCAATCTCTTTGTTTATTCTTGGCGGAATTTTTGTTGCCTCGTAGACTGGTTCCCATACATTGCAAATGCCCTGAATAAGTCCTACGCTGATTAGTTTTGTTTATAAGAGGTAATATCAGCAATATGTCCCGTTCATTTGACAATCTTTACTTTAAAATACTGAAATATATTTTATCATATATATATACGGATGTTTTCCACCTCAGTATTGTGTAATCCTCTTCATCCAAGTCTTCTCGAATACAAAACGAACGATCTACTTTTAACAGTAACCCAAATATGGCACTGTGTATTCCAATGAATAGCCAATCATTTCAAATCAAGTTGAGCGGGTGTCATCGGTATTTTCGACGAAAATATGCAACCAGTGATCAGTTGAATTGATACCTTTTCATCTACCAGAAGATTTAAGGAGGTTATTGTTTGGAAAACTGTTCGACCTCCCGGGCTGGCATGCACTGCAGGTTTGTTTACGTTTTCCATCAGTTTTCAGCATACATTGTGAAACATTGAAACTGATGAAAGTAAAAATGAAAGGAAAAACTACGTTAAATATGTGTTTTTAGATAAGTAACTTGATAAATTGGGGATAATGTTCCATTTTTTTCTGTAAATGATCATGGATCACAGGGGCTTGCTCCCGGCGTGTAATAGTATCAACGTATATGATTTTTTTAAAATAAATAATTATTACACGCCGGGAGCAAGCCCCTGTGCATGAATTAAACAAAACCAAGGAAAACAATTCTAGGTCACAATTTCAGAATGTTTAGCTGTTTACATTAGTGCTAGGAAAAAAATGTAGAAGCCAGGGTATGGCAATGTTTTTAATAGAGGACAACTTAGGTTATATAATATTTTATAGATATTATTTTGTATTCTAAACCATATCCATTTTCAAAAACAGGTACAGTGAAATCAATTATGCAGGTTCTTGAAGAAAGTCATGGATGACAGCAATGTGTGATTTACAAGACCAAGGGATCCCAATGTTTTTTTGACGGTACTTGTACATATTAGTTTTTAAAAAAAAATCAATAAATAATATCATAAAAATGTTACTTAAACAATTATTTAAATTATCAATTGCTTGACTTTTTCGGGAGTCAGTATAATTATACATTTCTGTTTTCAAAAAATGTGTTATTACTTTTTCCAAGCTCCAGCTACTCAGCTTACTGTGAGAGAGTTAACACCTTATTGACATATCTTTCATGAAGAAGAAACACTTCAGAAGAGTTCAAGAGTTTAATTTTATAGATGGCAAGTGTTGCTTAGACCTAAAGTATTCTTTAATTGTGAAGAAAACAAACATAAGGGTGTTCGGCAATTCATAACTATTAACTGTGATTGCATTGTGTATTTTTAAAATCATTCTTTGGTATGCTTCAAACTCAAAAGTATTTATGAAAACATTGACTATATTTATCCAGATGTATGAAATGTTTATCAAAGTATAAATTCCATTTTAGCATGTTATCTTCAAAATGAGGGACCTGTCAACTTTTACAATTCCAAGATCAGGAAATAATTCATGAGCAGCAACATGCTACTGGGAGAAAGGTATATATATCCTAAACCATAACTTGAATATCATACTATAGCTCTATAAGCAGCAACTATTGGTCTTCTTGTTACCTGATGACTAAGAAGGAAAATGGAGTTAATTATATGTGTTCAGTAATTATTCATAGATACTGATGCCAGTTCTTTTTCACAAATTATCTTTGCAAGTAAGACAAACATTTTCTCAATTCTGCAAAAGTATCTTAGCTACAGAAGGTCAAGAAATATTATTTTACTCCTACATTAGTATATTTTGTAAATAATCCTTTCAAAAGAAAAAATTAGGTAACAGAGTTATTAAATTTTAATCTTAGGGGTAAGATAAGGGATAGTGGCCCAGTCCATTTATATCATAAAATAAGTTAATAGCAACATGTTCATCAGTTTGTATCTGTCTTATTTAATAAGATTAACATAGTCTTTTTGGTAAAAATAAAGGCTGACATTAATGGTTCAAAATATTTTCTTTTTGAGGTTAAAGGTCATGTATGAAATTTTTATCTACATGTATTAATATGGTTGCATCTCGTTTCAATTTTCATTAGTCATGATACTGTGAATACTGATATCACAGTTTATTTGAATTTATAACACAGATGCCTATGAAAATATTCATGTTACTGAAAATATATATATATTTTTTCTTTTAAGGAAAACAGTAGAAGACTGCCTGCATGAGAATAAAAGTTTTGGACTCTGAAAAGGAATATGTGACAGAATATATATTTGGACAGTTGTTGATTTCCACAGAAACGCATGTCGAGTAACAAAAAAGTGGAGCACAGTTTCATGTCAATTCAAATCTTTAAATTCAAGGATGAACAATTGGTTCTTTATAAAACAAAATGACATGTTTGAAAAGGATTTTAGTGCAATGTACTCTGTCCTGGATACTTATCTATGTGTATGGGATTTGCAGGATAGACTATGTACAACAGATACTGTCAAGAAATTTGATGTTGTTGATTATATGTTTGTATAAAAATGTTTAGTATAGTAATAAACAAAGTTTAAGTCAATTTGTTGTTACTTTATATATTAAGTATGATGTCCAGACTTCTTTTGCAGTTTCAATTTGGAAGGAAAATCTTATTTATCATATGCACAAGTTTTATTCAAAAGAATGGAAAACAGTAATTAACTTTTGTGGCTATTAAAGATGTTATTTAATTAAATTTAATATTTGTAATTATCAGATTTAATGTACCCCAAATACTGTGTTTAATGTTTGTAAATATTAACTTTACTTTTTTGTAAAGTCAAGACAATGTGGGACATTACATCATATTTAAGTGCATGTAAAGTTAATGTAAAGGTTACCTTTTCCAACTTTGACTTTTTTCAGAAAAGCCAATTAAAGACATTGTAAATAATAAATTTACATTATCTTTACTTGTTTTGTAAAGCCAAATTTTCATGCAGTGAGAGTTCAAATTTTTCAGGATGGAAGCAAAGAAAATGATTGAAGATTGAACATGATTAGAAATGTTGTAGCTAGTTTCATTCAAGGAATGTAGTGGACAGTACATCTTATATTTGTAAATTCTATAGGCAACATAAGAGATAAGTGCATTGAGTGATACAATTTTTCTATTACGCTCAGAGCTAAATCCAATCATTACATGCTTCCATTTGATATCTATTTTCAGGTAAGAACTTAATATGTTCCACATTTTAATAACAGTTTTACATTCCAAAATGAGATGTTTTGAAGTTTCGTTCACATGGCATAATTTGCAAATACCTGATAGAGCTATCTATTTCTAGAGCTTGGAATGATACTAATATATTGATTAAACAATAAGGATCATGCGATACAAGCATAAAGAGTCCGATTAACCAATCAGACAATGTTTTAAATACAAGTTTATTACATTCAGCCGTCATACCAATGTACATATATGTGCATTTCTTTTTATTTTCTATAGCAGTCCTATCCATGGTACTTTTTCTATTTTCTTTAACAAAGAATTCAGATTGTGTTGTACATTTTGATTTAATAAAATGAACGGATCTGCTACAGAAGCAAAGGCAAATCTAAAATGTTTGATTAAAGGTAGCTGAAGTCCTTATTCCAAGCAGAGATAGATATTACCATTTAAAGAAATAATTGTGATTGTACTTTCTTTCATTTACCTTTTGCTTTTATATCACATTTAAAATCCTCAGACACCTTCAGCCCTCCTATAAATCATTGATTCACGTGTCTCCTGACCATATGTGTACTGCAATTATATGTAAATAAAGGAAACATTTATTAAAGCGATTTAATATATTTATCCTTATCTTATACGTAACTTAAAGAGACAGTTTTAATGTAATATTCTCTTTAGATCATCACATTATAATTTGTATGTGCTGTACAATTTGATTTAATAAAATGAACGGATCTGCTACAGAAGCAAAGGCAAATCTAAAATGTTCGGTTAAAGGCAGCTGAAGTCCTTATTCCAAGCAGAGATAGATATTTCCATTTAAAGAAATAATTGTGATTGTATTTTCTTTCATTTACTTTTTGTTTTTATATCACATTTAAAATCCTCAGACACCTTCAGTCCTCCTATAAATCATTGATTCACGTGTCTCCTGACCATATGTGTACTGCAATTATATGTAAATAAAGGATACATTTATTATAGCGATTCAATATATTTACCCTCACTTATACGTAACTGAAAGAGACAGTTTTAATGTAATATTCTCTTTAGATCATCACATTAAATTTTTTATGCTATTTAAGCATCACATTCTCATATAGATTTAACATTATTTCCTTTGCAGAGAAAGGATATTCCTTGCTCCATGAGCAAAATATTGATGCTGAAGAGGCATTTGGAACTGGTAAATTTTCTATGAAATGAAAATTACATTTGTCACTTTTTCTTCTATACCCATACAGACATTAAATTTTGAAGTCATGTGCAGTAAGCGATCAAACGTTATGAAAACATGTTTAAAGCGACTTATTAAACATCTTTGTATATATATAATTATCCCTTTTTATTGTTTGACTGACAATATTAAGGGCATTGGACATGGAGATGCCTTCTGATCGATAGTAAGAATCAAGAAAAAGATTGATATAGCACAGGTACAAAATTTTGAGGATTAACTCCTTACTCCGCGACTCTAGAGCTGACACTCTACCACTGTGCCAAGCTGGCGACTACGTATATTTGTAATTTTTGCTTACGGGAGTTCCCCCATTGCCGCGCCTTTAATTTGTTTGTAATATTGTCTGTTAAATTGAAAAGAAAATATTTGCAAGTATGAGCAAGAAAATAAGATCAGAACTACAATGTCGAGGTAATTCTTGATTAGGATTGTCTGCTGAATATGCTTTTTCGACATATTATAATCATGTTTGTGTACATGCTGTTCACATCATGATTATTTAACACTATTAGATTTTTAGAAAAAAAAAAATAGAATGTGCCTTTGTGGTATGAATTTTCTTTCTCAACAATGGGAACAGGAACTGATCAATGGGAACAAGGAAATGATCACAGCAGCGACGTCTATTTTCCGTTTGTGTGCAACTTTTCTCGGGACTGCAATATGCCGTTTGAAAGTTTAAAAGAAACTTGACTGTTAATATTAAGTATTTTAGGAAAGAAGTACAGACTACCACATTTCCAATAAGCATTTTTACCCGTTCTAAAATCCAATAGGTTTTCTTGTCTAAAGTTTTTTTAAATACATTTCAAAGACATTTGACTTGGTGCTTTCATGTAGAGCTTGTAAATTAGGTTTTTCTACCAAGATACAATAACCAGTACCAAGTTGTCTCATGCCCTCTGAGATATATTGATAGTTGTTCATTACAATAGCTATTAAATGTTGCTTTATACTTCTTTAGCGCATCACACGTGTGCTATGGTATGTAGCCTGTGCGTTGTCTCTCGGGTTGAATTAAGTTGTAATCGGAATTGCTGAACTAGAATTTGCAAGTTTATACTGGTGAAAATGTATTGGTATGATTTTTTGGCCTTGTACGATTGACTTCGGACTTGGTATAAAATTAAGCTCGTTGTTTAGAAGAAAATGTAAGGCACTTGTCAGGTAGTGATTTGACAAGTTGAAAATTTGAATTTCAGGCTTCTTAAAATTCTTTAACTGTAAGTCACGAGCAATGATAGCTCGTACTTGTTAAAGAAATAGTTTAAGCTGAAAGTTAGGAGCAAAGATATATTCGATATAGAATAAATTACATATGAAAGCTTTTTTTCATTCCAGATGTTTTGCAAATACACAAGCAAAATTCCATTCCTGTGGACGCCATTGAGGCTGTAGAAAAAAGTTAGTAGGTTTTATAATATTGCTTATCAAAATAAAATATGTACCAGACACAACCTTAAATCAGAGAGAGTCCCATAAGCAAACCCAGGGTTTTGATTTATATTTTTTCACCATATTTTATTTTTATTTCTTAAGACAAACAAAAATAGAAATATATATATAACATATTGAGAAGAAGTTACATTACAAACTTAAGACAATGTGACAATATTGACTTCATACAATGTAAAGCAATTGAACCATGTATTCAAAAATGTTTTAGGACAGATCTTTAAAAAAGTTTGTAGTCTACAAGAGAGTTCAAATTTTTCGTGATGGAAGCATAGAAAATTATTGAAGATTGAACATGATTAAAAATGTTGTAGCTAGTTTCATTCAAGGAATGTAGTGGACAGTACATCTTATATTTGTAAATTCTATAGGCAACATAAGAGATAAGTGCATTGAGTGATACAATTTTTCTATTACGCTCAGAGCTAAATCCAATCATTACATGCTTCCATTTGATATCTATTTTCAGGTAAGAACTTAATATGTTCCACATTTTAATAACAGTTTTACATTCCAAAATGAGATGTTTTGAAGTTTCGTTCACATGGCATAGTTTGCAAATACCTGATAGAGCTATCTATTTCTAGAGCTTGGAATGATACTAATATATTGATTAAACAATAAGGATCATGCGATACAAGCATAAAGAGTCCGATTAACCAATCAGACAATGTTTTAAATACAAGTTTATTACATTCAGCCGTCATACCAATGTACATATATGTGCATTTCTTTTTATTTTCTATAGCAGTCCTATCCATTGTACTTTTTCTATTTTCTTTAACAAAGAATTCAGATTGTGTTGTACAATTTGATTTAATAAAATGAACGGATCTGCTACAGAAGCAAAGGCAAATCTAAAATGTTTGATTAAAGGTAGCTGAAGTCCTTATTCCAAGCAGAGATAGATATTACCATTTAAAGAAATAATTGTGATTGTACTTTCTTTCATTTACCTTTTGCTTTTATATCACATTTAAAATCCTCAGACACCTTCAGCCCTCCTATAAATCATTGATTCACGTGTCTCCTGACCATATGTGTACTGCAATTATATGTAAATAAAGGAAACATTTATTAAAGCGATTTAATATATTTATCCTTATCTTATACGTAACTTAAAGAGACAGTTTTAATGTAATATTCTCTTTAGATCATCACATTATAATTTGTATGTTATTTAAGCATCACATTCTCATATAGATTTAACATTATTTCCTTTGCAGAGAAAGGATATTCCTTGCTCCATGAGCAAAATATTGATACTGAAGAGGCATTTGGAACTGGTAAATTTTCTATGAAATGAAAATTACATTTGTCACTTTTTCTTCTATACCCATACAGACATTAAATTTTGAAGTCATGTGCAGTAAGCGATCAAACGTTATGAAAACATGTTTAAAGCGACTTATTAAACATCTTTGTATATATATAATTATCCCTTTTTATTGTTTGACTGACAATATTAAGGGCATTGGACATGGAGATGCCTTCTGATCGATAGTAAGAATCAAGAAAAAGATTGATATAGCACAGGTACAAAATTTTGAGGATTAACTCCTTACTCCGCGACTCTAGAGCTGACACTCTACCACTGTGCCAAGCTGGCGACTACGTATATTTGTAATTTTTGCTTACGGGAGTTCCCCCATTGCCGCGCCTTTAATTT